TAGGTTCATATTAAAAGCAGTATTTAGAAAGATTAATCCAGGATTAGTAGATATAGATGAATTGGTGACAAAAGAGGGTGGAGGCATGAGGCCTGTATTTTCAGTGGTCTGGATAATAATGACCAGAGGAAATGCAGTAACCATCAGCTTGAGGAAAGGAGGTGGATCAAGAGACACATGAAAGCAAGAGCGAAGGGCCTTGGTGATATTTTAGATTTGTGGGAAGAGGGAAAGGATGAAAAATTCCTGGAATTTTAGTAATGACAATAATAAAAATCAGAAATGAGTCCTATTTGCATTTTCCTGTGTTTGTTTAAAATGTTGGCAGGACGTCCAGGTGGCGCATGTCCAGTAGCCCACTGGAAATGTGGAACTGGAACGTGAGAGGCGTTCTTAGTTGAATAATTAGGTTTGGAAGTCATCAGTGAAGAGGTGGCAGCTGTGACACTTCACCTCTGCCCTGCAGCCTTCCATATGATCAACTCATGTGAGGTCTGCACCGATGGATTCTCAAACACGGTCCCACCTTTTTTCATCCCATGTTTCCCATTCCACTCTTTCTTAAGGGCTGACCTGTGTCCCAAGTTGAAATCCTATCTCTCACTGTCTCAGAATATGACTGTATTTGGGGATAGGCCTTTTAAAGAGTTGTTAATAATTAAGGGTAAATTAAGATTAAATAATTAAGACCTAATCCAGTATGACTGGTGTCCTTATAAGAAGAAGAAATTGGGCCGGGTGCAGTGGCTCACGCCTGTAATCCCAGCACTTTGGGAGGCCGAGGTGGGTGGATCACGAGGTCAAGAGATCGAGACCATCCTGATCAACATGGTGAAACCCCGTCTCTACTAAAAATATAAAAAATTAGCTCAGCATGGTGGCACGTGCCTATAATCCCAGCTACTCAGGAGGCTGAGGCAGGAGAATTGCCTGAACCCAGGAGGCGGAGGTTGCAGTGAGCCGAGATTGCGCCATTGCACTCCAGCCTGGGTAACAAGAGCGAAACTCCGTCTCAAAAAAGAAGAAGAAATTAGGACACAGACACACACAGAGGAAAGGCCATGTGAAGACACAGGGGGAAGCTGGCCACCTGCAAGCCAAGAGCGGGGGCTTCGGAAGACACCAACCCCATCTCAGGCTTCTAGCCTCTAGAATTGTGAGAGAGTAAGTTTCTGTTGTTTACACTGCCCAGTCTCTGGTGTGCATTTGGCAGCCCTAGCAAGCTAACACACTCCTCTAGGGACCCGTGCCCTTGGATCACCACCCTGTTCGAGCTGAGGGTACTCCACACTGTCAGCTTATTCCACTGCTTACATTTTACCAGGTCTGTCTCCCAGCCCCTCATTATCTGGATCTGTTCTGGGTGGTAGTTAGTCGTCATCAGAAATGTGATCCTGTGGACAGAAGCATAAGGTTATCCTCCCCCAATAACAGTGCTCTGTATCTCAGGAGGCTCCCTGTGGTGGGGACTCTGGTGTCCAGAGCAGAGCTTGTGGGAGAGGGAGTTGGTCAAAGGCGCCTTTCTGAGCACCCGGCTCACAGCTGTTCGAGGACTGTTCTGCCACCTGTTCTTAGCTGTGTCTGGCAGTGGATTCCTCCATGTGCCTCCCTCTGAAAGCATGCTCAGAACAGAAAGAAATGTGTTCCTCCTCATTAGCAACACAGAAAAAAATGAGATTTTATTGCATTTATAATTCATGCTTCTTTCTCTCTCTCACCCTCTGCATTTAGTAATGATTCTGAATTTCAGTTGGGTCCTGTTTTTCAAGACATAAAGGAAAGTGCCATGAAGACTGAAGACCAAGTTCAGTGCTCAAACTAGCCCTCACAGGAAACAAATAGAATGATGTATTCTCACAACCTCCCGCAAAGAGCTTATCTATGAAAGGGTGGAATAGCTAGTGCTTGGAAATCCCTGTTAACCCAACCGCTCAGATTCCAAGTCTTATCTTGCATAGACTTCTGTGACAGTGAAATATTCAGACGGGGACCGTGTCCTTGGTGACTTTTGTGCTCCTTAGGGCTGGCCTTTATGATGAATTGAGGCAGTTATCATCAGGAAGACGGTGATGAGCTGTTCTCCATCTTCACAGGAGACAGAATGAGAGCAAGTGGGTGAAAGATGTGGCAAAAAGTCCTGTTAGAAAGAGCAGGCTGGTAGGGGCCATTTTAGGATCTGATTAGGTTGTTCTCTAGCTCCCTCATCTGGGCGCCTGAGGTATTAGCCTGTGTTTTTCATTGCTGGTCCATTTACTATGCAGATTATTTATGTGTCTGTTCCTTCCCAAATACTGGGAACTCCTAAAGAGAGTTCTCTAATTTTGTCTATATCTTGCCTCTATCATGTCTGTATTTCGGTCTTTCTGCCTCAGCATTTAGCTCGTATTGGGTGAGTCCGAAGTAGATGGGGAATGAAATTAAACTATGGGATAACTCTTTGACCCTTGAAATCTTTCTAGTATCCTGGAGACTCTGTGTGTGTGTGTGTGTGTGTGTGTGTGTGTGTGTGTGAGAGAGAGAGAGAGAGAGAGAGAGAGAGAGGATCATGAATAAATGACTCTTGCAAATGACTCTGATGGTTCTGTGCAAGATTGAAAAACTGTGTGAATAGATAGTCAACTGTAGTTGAATATCTAGCGTATGTCGATGATTACGACATAGTTATTGCCTGATTGACTAACAAAGGGCTGGGAAACACAGGTAGTTGCCAGAGGGAGAGGTGTGGCATCCTCTCTAGAGATTTTTAGGGCAAGAGTTATATTTCTGAGATGGGATGTGGACAACCTGCTAAGTGTAAGTTTTCCCTAGAACATAAAGGGCGATTGGAGCCATGCAAGTAGGCTGAATGGATCAATGGACAGTAGATCTGCCATTTGCTGACCTCTGCTATGTGTCAGGGGCTTTGTATACGCTATCTCATTTAATTCTCACATACATACTTCTTGAGATGAATCTTCCCTTATTTTACAGATGGGGAAATTGAGGCATAGAGAGGTTTATTTATTCATTTAGTCAACCATATTCATTAAGTTTGTGCTATATGCTAGCCCAGCCTATATGCTAAGCTCTGGGGTTACAAAAATGACAAGATACATACAGTCCTTGGCCTCATGGGGCTTACAATCTGGCAGGAAAGAGAAATGTATAAGAGGTAAGAGTGATAGTTTCATAGGGTGCTGTTAAATGTTGTCTTCTTCCCATTAGGAGCACACAGTATAGTGATACACTGAGCAGCGGACAGCCTCTTACAATGCTCTTGGTTATAAGTGCACGTCACAGCTGCATTACAATGTAGGGTTATATAAATGTTCCATAAGTGTAAATACTTGGTGCTATGAAAGCACACAGGAGACAGGAAGGGAGGCTTCTAGGAGGTAGTGACATTCACTGAGACCTGAAAGGTGAGGAAAAAAAGGCAGGCGGGGGGGCAGGAAAAGTGTTCCAGGCAGAAGGAACAGAATGAGCAAGGTCCACAGATAAGAACTAGAATGGCCCCTGGACTATAGATTTGGGGTGATAAATGAGGCTGAAGAGGTAAGCAGGGGCCTGAAACTATGGGTTATCATAAAAAGCTTAGTTCATGGGATATTTAGACTGGGTGCAGTGGCTCATGCCTGTTATCCCAGCACTTTGGGAGGCTGAGGTGCAAGGATCATTTGAGCCCAGAAGTTCGAGACCAGCCCAGGCAACATGGCAAAACACCATCTCTACAAAAAAATTTTAAAAAAATTAACTGGGCTGTGGTCCCAGCTACTTGGGAGGATGAGGTTGGCAGGATGGCTTAAGCCCAGGATATTGAGGCTGCAGTGAGCTGTGTTTGCGCCACTGTACTCCAGCTTGGGCGACAGTGTAAGACCCTGTCTTAAAAAATAAAATAAAGTAAGATAAAATAAAATAAAAAAGCTTAGACTTGATCTCAAGGCAACCAGGAAGAGGATGAAGGTAGTGGTGAACAAAGTAGGAGGAGGTTAAATGACCTTCACAAGGTTTCATAACCAGAACGTGGCACACCTGGAATTTGATCTGATGCTCAGTCTAACTCTAAAGCTCATCCTATGGCCACTGGCCCACGCTACCAGGAGCCATCCTAAGAGGTGGAGAAGGAAAAAGGTGGAGGCTCACTGTTCTACTCACTTTTCTTCCACTTCCTCCTGGACTTTCCGTTTTCTATTGACTGCCCTAGGCCTCCGGCAGCACTGGAAGAGGGTGTGTCCCCAGCTCTTCTTTCTGGGAGGTAGATGCAGGTGCCGAGCAGCAGTTTGTGACAGCACCCCTGCCTCCTGGTCATTCCCGCACCCTTTACCTGGGGCTGACATTTCTGTTTACTATAGATCTGCGCCAAGAGACCACCTGGCTACCTTCAAGTGGTGGGGGAGCTGCTGGCTCTACCTGCATCTGGGAACCTTCTATTACCTTCCAGGAACAGGGGATGCACAGAAACCAGGCTCCCATTTGGTATGAGGAGCAGGTGTTGGGTGGGAAGAGAAGAGGCTCCTGTTCTCCTCGCTGCCATTTGTGTTCTTGCCGGGTGGATTCGAGGTGCATATGCTTGTGTTCTGTTTTGCATTGTTTTCCCATATACCTCCTCAGCGCAGGGCTGCCGTCGTGCCAATGTTTAACTCAATCTATATGCCGTTATTTCATATTTGGAACCCCAAAATGTTAAAACTCTTTTGTAGTAAACAAAACATTTTCAATAATTGCTCAAGAGAATTTGGAAAAATAAGCTTGTTCGTTCCATCTTTCTATTTTCAGTAGGATGGTTATCTCTGTTCATATTTTTCTTTTCATATAATGTAGTGGCTAAGGGCGCTGCCTCTCCCAGACTTCTGGAGTTTGTATGCTGACTCTGACACTTTCTAGCTGGGTGACACTGGGCATATTACTTAACATTTCTGTGCCGCTCTCTCCTTAACTGTAAGAGAGATGATAACCATCTCTATCTAATAATCATAGTATAAATACAAGGATTAAATGAGTTTACAGAGGTAATGCCTATAGAATGATGACTACCACTGAGTAGGTGCTTCCTAAGCACTGGTAGTATTCATGATTCAGCATGGGAATTTTTTTAATTTTTATTTTTGGAATTCTAGCTGTCAGCTCCAAGTGGTCTTTTAGAAAATGTTTTGAAGTGAACAGTGGTGCTGCCCTTCAGCCTCAGCTCTCTGTTCATGTGAAGTTCATCTCCATGCAAGGAGATGAGTATGGGCAGGGAGGGCTCTCCTGAGAATCAGCAGAGGAAGATTCAATTCTCCTTTGCTCAAGTTTTTGGAGGTGTTCAGAAACATTTGCAAAGGACAGAATAACATCCTGTATGTTAGCATCAATCATCCCCAACAACCTTCTGGGGCAGCATAATAGCTCACAGCCCCATTGGATAATGTATATTATATGAGTAAAATTCCAATTTTTGCTATGTCACAGGTGAATGTACCTTTGGTGAGGGCTTCTACTGCTACATGGCCGGCTTTCTTTTGCAAACAAGTGAACTCCTATTGTTTTGAAGTAAGTGTTCTTTTAATGGTCAGTTCATTCTTTAGCTCTGAACATGTAGGTGACTTTTATTTTCTTCTGAAACAGCTTTAACCAAAAGGTGCATGCATCAGTGGCAGGAGAAGGCTGCTTTTTGATTCTCCTAGACAGAGGCTGTGATAAGCAAGGTCTGGACAGTCTGTGCTGCCTGGGAATGTGCAGGTGACTGCAGACAGTGTGGAGGGACAAGAATGGGCATATGGTCCCCATTGGCACAGCATAACAAAGTAATTAAAAATGTCTTAAAATGCAGAAACCCCCCAAACTGTAAAGTATATCATGGTAGATGTCAAATTAGCATTTCTGTCTCTTTTGAACAATGCCATAATCTCATTAATCTACAGAAGGAACGAAATGCATGGACTCCAACCAGTTGGCTGGACATATGTCGCACATTGGACTGGCCATTTGGCTGGATCAGATTAAAGTAGAGAAATTGCATATTTTTTGGGCACTGAACATAAATCTGGGCCTGCTTATTACTTTTTGAGCTTCCTTTTTGGAGTGATAGATCTGTAAGTGCCAAAAATTCAGTACCAACTTGAGTTAAAAAAAAAAAAAAAACTTATAAAGAAGCTCCATGGAGAAAAGGGACAAAGGACTGGAGATGGAGACCACATGCAAGGCTGGCTTCAGAGTGCTGAGCTGTGTTAACCAGCAGCATTCACAGGGTCACGTGTCTGAATTGTCAAAGCTGCAGGATTGGCTCACTTATGGGCAAGGTGGATCCATTGATTAAATATTTTATTTTGAATGATATCATATACTATTAAGCCTTTTAGCAAGTGTTATGTCTTAAAATTCTTTTATTTGCAAATGTAGAAATTAAAAATCTTTCCAATTTTTTGAAAGCAAAATAAAGCTGTGTTGTTTATCTGAATGAATGCACACACTAATGTTTCCTGAGTATTTGGTATGTGCTCAGAGCATTGTACTAAATATTGGAGGAATATGAAATGTGACCCTGTAAGGTGCTTGTGGTTAGAGCAAGTTCACTACCAGCTCTAACACTGAGCAGGGATGGCATCTTTAGAAATTGAAGCGTGCAATGGGGATTCAGAGAGAACCAGGTCATATCTGTGTGTGTGTTCGGCGGGAGGAATGGGTGGAGTGAGGTGAGAAAAACCTTCATGAGGAAGGTAGCATTTGAAAAGATGAGGGTAGAATTCTGACAGGCAGAGATGGAAATAGGAGAGTGATTTGACATCTCTGGAGTCAAGGATGGGGAGATAGGAAGTCACAGGGAGACATGTGAAGGAGACACTGGAGGATGAGTTTGCAAAGGTAGATGTTGGGTACCATTTGGTGGACAGGACTCAATGGCAGATCAAAGAGTATGAATCCCCACTGCACTCTGCACATTTCTAAAGATGTCATCCTCTGCCCAGTATTAGAGCTGGTAGTGAACTTGCCCTAATCACAAGCACCTTACAGGGTGGGTCACATTCAAAGTCATATTCCTCCAATGTTTAGGACAATGTTCTGAGCACATACCAAATACTCAGGAAACATTAGTGTGTGCATTCATTCAGACAAACAATACACTTTCATTTTGCTTTCAAAAAATTGGAAAGATTTTTAATTTTTATATTTGCAAGTAAAAGAACTTTAAGATACAGCACTGCACTAAAAAGCTACTGAAGGCTTCTGAGCAGAGGAATGACAAAAACTGGACCTGCGCTTTCGGGCAGATGAGAATGCATGGTGTAATATATGAGATGGGCTGGTGAGAACATCAGTTAGGAGACGATGGGGGTAGACCTGCCAAGAGAGGATGGAATCCTCATGTAAGGACAGGCTGTGAAAAACAGGGGTTGTGCAGCCAGAGGGACTGTGGAAGCAGAAGCCACAGGACCTGATCAGATCAGGGGATCAGGATCGGGGGAGCTCAAAAATGATTATTGTAAATAATAATAATCATTACGCATTTGCAGACAGGTTAGTTACTATAAAGTTATCTGGTTGATAGAATGCTCAGTAAAGAAACTTTTGCTCTATCAAAGATGCCTTTTTTTTTTTTTTCAGATGGAGGTTCTCTCTGGTGCCCAGGATGGAGTGCAGTGGCATGATCTTGGTTCACTGCAACCTCCGCCTTCTGGGTTCAAGCGATTCTCCTGCCTCAGCCTCCTGAGTAGCTGAGATTTCAGGTGTGTGCCACCATGCCTGACTAATTTTGTATTTTTTTAGTAGAGACAGGGTTTCACCATGTTGGCCAGGCTGGTCTCAAACTCCTGACCTCATGACCCACACTCGGCCTCCCAAAGTGCTGGGATTACAGGTATGAGCCACCGCACTTGGCCAAAGATTTCTTTTTAAAGGCAAAGTCTTTTAGTCCTTTGGATTAAGATTAACTATGTCAGGGGGAATGGGTGTGGGCGAGATGGGGATCAGGGCCAGTGTTCTGTTTTAAGTTGTCCAAACACTGCACCCCAGAGGTTAGACACTCCTGTTAGCTCATTAGAAAGATGTAGAAACCTGACAGGAGGACCGGAAGCTGGAACTATCTCTTGGGCTTAATAATGCTGCACCCATTTTCCCATGGCAAACGTTAATGTGCTTACAAGGTCTTAACACCAACTTACATATCAGTTTTCCAAGAATTTCTGCCAAGGTGGTGGATGGAATTAAGAAATTAAGTACTGCAGTTTCAATAGCTCTGTAATATCTCTAAATAGAATTTAAAAATTTAAGAGTGCTGCTGGTGGGTATGTGCTCAAGTAGGTGGAGGAAAGGGGTTTCCCTGTAGATAGGGTGCTCTTTTGACCTATGCCCTAAATCTGGGGTTCAAGTATAAGCAAGTCAGTTCTAGGGAATATAGTAGCCATTTGATTTCATTAATTCTTCTTTTCATAGCAGTAGAATTTTCTAAATGGAAGTGAGATTTCAGAGACTCTCTCTGCATAGAAATGGTAAATTAGAAATCTGTCTATGAAGACTTCTCTGCATGTAACTAAATGACAATCTTTGGGGAATTATCAGTATTTGGAGTAATAAACCCATTGCACAGAATGGTTAAATATTAGTATGTGGACTTTAGCTACATTTATTATAATTGTAATGATTCTAGTGATATATGAACATATTTGGAAATAATTAATTTGGAAGAAATGTTTGCTAGCATTTTGTTTTCTTGTAACTGTGACTCTGAGGCTGGCAAATATGAATTAAAATGTGCTTCCTGAGTTCAAGTGAAGGTATTCAGTTAACCTGAACCTTTTGGGTTTTTCTTTCTATTGGGGGAGAGGCTGCTGAGGAGAAAGAGCCCCTTTTTTCGGGTAGGGTCTCGTGGTCTTGCCCAGCCTGGAGTGCAGTGGCATGAACACGACTCATTGCAGCCTCCAACTCCAAGTCTCAAGTGATCCTCCCATCCCAGCCTTCTGAGTAGCTGGGACTACAGGCATGTGCCACCACACCAGGCTAATTTTAAAATGGTTTTTGTAGAGATGAAGTCTCAGTATGTTGCCCAGGCTGGTCTTGGACTCCTTGCCTCAAGCCATCCTCCCATCTTGGCTTCCCAAAGCACTGGGATTACAGGCATGAGCCACTGCGCCCAGCCTGGAGCAACTTCTAAATTGTGCTCTATATAGAAGCTACATTGTTAGCAGAGTATGCTTCTGGTGCTGTGCCACTGCCTGCCTTGTTTCTCCAGGTGTGGCCACCTGTATAGTAATTTCAGGCTAAAGTGCTGGGGTAAGACTGCGTTGAACTCTTTAATCCCTAGGTAAATTACTTAATCTTCCTAAGCCTCAGTTTCCTCATCTGTAAAATGAGGATACAGATTCCCACCTCACAAGGTTGTTGTGAAAACTGAAGTGACAAAAGCTGTGGAGCATTGTACCTGCCTTAAATGTTAGCTATTATTCTCATCATAGGAACCTTGGCTCTGCCGTATCAGAGCTGTTTGTGACCTTGGACAAGTTACTCAACCTCCCCCAAGCCTCAGTTTCCTCATCTGGAAAATGGAGTTAATAGTAATCTTTACCACATAGGATTCATATGAATACTAAATGGTATTCTATTAAGTGCTCAGCTCAGAATTATTGTAAATGCCCCAAAAATATTTGTTACTGTTACTACTATTACAATCTGACCTTGGGAAAGTTATTTAACCTGGTCCTTGCCTAAGAAACTAATTTTTTTTTAACCCATAAAACTGAAATAATTATATCTGTCTCATAAAGATGGGAGAAATAAATGTACATAAAGGACCTGATACATAGTAGGCTTTTGGTGGAGGGAGCTGTTATTATTTCCACAAATTAGCCTTTCTGCAGGAGAGCTGCCCCTGGCTGAGAGCCTTTACGGCCAGCTTCATGCCTTTCATTCTCTGCCCAAGTTGAACCACATTCCCCACAGAATTGACATCTTTCCAGAGTGGATAAAGTTCCAGGTATCACCATGCAACCCAACCCCTGCCGGACGCAGGCCTGCGTAATTGCTCTGCACACAGACCTTGCTCCCAGGGCCCCAGTGGTGGCTGGGCCCATGAGGCCTCTATATTTGATTTCTGGAGATCAACAAACAAACACTTGAATTAAATAAGCATGTTAGTCGTGGCAAGTTCAGATTGCTGTAATTAGCTTCTGTCTGGCCTGCTGTAAGCAGCAGGCCTGTGCTTCTTACTGCCTGTGTAGCCAGAAACACTGGTCTCAGCTCTGAGGGTACTGCAGCGAAAATCACTTGACATTGGTGTTTTAGGACAGATGCTGGTAAGGTCTCCTCCTGGGGTGGTGGTGGAGAGCATGGGCCTTTCATTTTTCAGGCTATCGAGAGTTACTGAGCAAGTTATTAGGCTTGGCACTGGGGATATGAAGACAGGCTAGACACAGTCCCTGATAGCAAGGAACTATGATGGGGGCAGGAACAAAGATGGATGCAGAGGCCAGGAGGGGAACAGTGATCACATCTCCCTCCCTGGCTCCAGGAGTGAAACCATGTCAAGTTCAGACTGTTCTTTGGGGCTGGCTGGGGAGAGGTATTCCCCTTCAGAAATGCCACATTGTTAGCAGAATATGCTTCTGGTGCCTTGTTACTACCTGCCCTTCTTCATCCAGGTGTGGCTACCTGTTGGGCCCTCGACCAGTTCGCCTGTGAGGGGCCCAGTGCCCCTCTGGTCCTTCTCCCTGCACAGGTCCAGCTCCTCTCCTGCCTCAGAAATTCTGAGCTCCCTGGGCCTCAGCTCAGCTCCCCTTTCTTTCCCTTTCCTGGGAAGGTATCACCTTTTAGGCTAAATGACAGTCTGCATATCATTATCCTGCAATCTGCCAAACTGGTGATGCATTTAATCATAGTGATCATGATAACAATGATGATGATAACAATACCATGCTTTGGTAAAGCCCTTTTGATCTTTTAGAGCGACTGTATTTACTCCCCCTTTTTTCAGAATCATATGCATATTCATCATCTTCACAGCGGCATTCATTGAGAACCTACCATGTGTGTCAGCCCTGCAGGTGCAAAGAAGCTTAATATACATGTCCGCCCACCCATCCTCTAACCTCCGAGGGCAAGCAATGTGGAAAGTCAAAATAACATGAGCTTTGCAACTCTCCCTGATCACGACTAGTTCTGTGACCTTTGGCATGTTACTTAACCTCGGTTTCCACGTTTGTCGTACAGGAATAATAATAGTACTTCTTTCTGAGCATCTTTATGTACAGAAATCCCACATATAATCTCACTAAATGTCAGCACTGAATTAGCACCCAGACTGTTTCAGGGACTTTATAAGCATATTTCTTATACCTTACCACAGCTCTGCAAGCTCTAACTGCTTCCACTGTGCAGACGGGGAAACTGAGGCACAGAGACCTTCTCCGGGTCACAAAATTGTTATGTGGAAAAGCTGGGATTCAAATCCAGATCGGGTCTAGATACTCTGTTCTTTGCAGTACAGCCTCCACGGAGCTTATTAGATGCAAAACCCAAAGAAGTGGTACAGAGAGCGAGAACTAGAGAGCTCAAGAGAAACAAGCTCAAGAGATGAGGGCATGGTTATTCTGAACATGTTCTCAGTTCCGCCCTAGTTTTAATTTTACGCACTGCTACTTTTAAAAAGAAAACAACTTATGTATAGTATTCCTGAATAATATGCTTAATATTAGTAATTGCATGTAGTCAGACATTTTCTTTCAGTCAGTGCTAATGTGAGACATTTGTATTCAAAGTTTTGCTTAAATAAAAGGTGGGCATTTTATTTAAAAAGGAGCATTTCAGCGATAGGGAGGCCAAATACACCGTATGCGACTTTGTGACTCAGTCTGCATCAGTGCCCTCTGGTGGTAATCCTGGAAATCATTTATATCTTTCAGAATGTAAGTAGAGCTTAAGAGGAAAAAAAACCCTGAATTTACTCAAGATCTACCGGACATTTCTTGCTAAAAATATTAACCAGTAAATGCTGGAATCCTTTTTCCCACATAAAATATCCTTTTCTTTATAAAGGTCTAAAGCTGTAAGAAATAGGTGACTTTTATACAAACCTTGGCCAAAGGTGCCTTTAATCGTTTTGGGTGGGAAATAGTTTGAAATCAAGTATTTTATGTTACACAAATTAATGTCAAGGAAAGAAATATTACCTAAAGATTTCTCCTTGCTGTCTTTTCCACAGAGTCATTTTAGTGAATGGTGTATGGAAATAAACTTTCAATTTATTTGTGTCTTTTTCTCCATAAAATACATTTAGCAAAAGAAAGGATGTCTAAATTGGGGTTTGCTTGGGACTGTCTGGAGACATTCTTCCAAGGTCTTTAGTTGCGGGCTGAATATCCCACTTTCCCTTGTATGCTCAGGAGTCTAAGAGTGGAATCGAAAGTATGTTGTATGGTTCTGAGGAGATTATCACTGACATTTCCATATTTTCCCTCAGTTTTTCAAATGCGGCATCTAACTCTGCAGTCCACAGAATATCCTGAATGATGGTCTTCTAAAAGGGCTTATCTGATAGGTGCTATGGGCCAGCCTGTTTCATCTTCATGACATTCCTTCGAGATGTGATTTTAGCCACATTCTTCTACAAGAAAGGGACTCTGAGAATTTAAGGTAACTTGCTACCCAGCTGTTCCGTGGCAGAATTGGGATTCGACCTCAAATCTCTGACCTCGCAGTTAAAGGCCTTGCCTTCTTGCTGTGGATGTTTCCCAATGGTGGGTCACATTCACGTTCGACTTGAATCTAAAACAGAAACGATGAGGTGGGCTGTGCTATGTTCCCTAAAGTGAGAGTTGCAGTGGGGCTAATGTGTTTGTGTGAATGAGGATTCTTCGCTGACATGTGGCAATGTCACTCTGCAAAGCCATGGGAAACAAAGCTCTGCTTTTCCCCTACAATAAGTTAACATTGGCAATACTGGTGGCCTGTCCTTATGGCAGTAAAAGTTGCATACAGCCACATCTGTCCAGCCTGGCACAGCTCCTTTAAACAACAGGAGCCCGTTCTGTGGCACAAGTTGGGATTACCAAAGAGAGGACGGCCTTCAAACCACTAGACCCAATCCAACTTTGCACCTCACTGGGTATTGCCCTTGGCCCCTGACTTCTTACTCATTTGCTCATTATGTGCTAGCCTGTCCCTAAGATTTGGTACATTTTGCTACTTTTCTGATTAGTGACGTTAGCTCCCAGTGGAAATTCTGTCTCCCTTACTTGAAGAAAGTACTTTGTAAAAAAAAATTGTGAAACCAATTTTTTTCACCCACTAATAAGCTGTTCTTAGGAGGGTAAGTACAGCTTACCTGACTCTGCAGGGCACTTTTGCAAGGAAGGGATGAGGGGCTCAGTCTCTGCGGGGGAAGGAAGGCATGCAGAGGTGGCAGATGCTGATGGCCTGAGAGGTGGGGAATTTTGCCTCTTCTGGTTTCTAGTCACCCTAGCTTCTTGAAAGACTGAGTTTAGGGGTGTAGGTGTTGGAGTGGGGTGAATGGGATAGGAATAGCTCTATAAGCATCTGAAGTTGCCCCATTGGTACCATTAGAACCATACTTTTCTTTTCATAAAATTGTGAGTATATAAAGACCTTGAGGGCTTAGCAGGTTTTGGGGAAACCACCACATTACTGATCCTTCAAGAGACCAAGTATAAAAAGAGTGCCTCTAATTTCTAGCCTTTTGGTTACTGCTACCTCTGTGTCATCATCTCCTATCACCCCCCTCACTTCTAGCCACACCAGTCTCATCACTGTTCCTTGGATGGGTCTCAGATCTTTGCACTGGCTCTTCTTTCTGCTTGGACCACTCTTCCTCAAGACAGCTACATGCCTTACTCCCTCCCCTCCTGCACTGCTCAAAAGTCACCTTTGTAGGGAGTTCTAATCTGACCTCCCTAATTTAAATTGCACTTCTGATTTCACTTACTTTGCTTTTTCCCTCATAGTGATCACCTTTTTTTTTTTTTTTTTTTTTTTTTTGAGGCAGAGTCTCACTCCGTCACCCAGCTGGAGTGCAGTGGCGCAATCTCGGCTCACTGCCACCTCTGACTCTGTGTTTCAAGCCATTCTCCTGCCTCAGGCTCCTGAGTAGCTGGGATTACAGGCACGTGCCACCATGCCCAGCTAATTTTTGTATTTTTAGTAGAGATGGGGTTTCACCATGTTGGCCAGGATGGTCTTGATCTCCTGACCTTGTGATCTACCTGCCTTGGCTTCCGAAAGCTCTGCAATTACAGGCGTGAGCCACCATGCTTGGACCACCTTTTAACATATTACAAAATTTTCTTAAAATTTTTCATGTTTATTGCCTATCTCCTGTTTCACCCTCCTTCTTGCATCCCTGAATATAAACTCTATCAGAATAGTGCATTTGCTTTTTTTTTTTTTTGGTCCTTTTTGTTCAATAACAAACAGTGCCTAGAATAATGCCTTATAGAAGTGCTCTATAAACATTTGTTGAATGAATGAATGAAGTATAATACAAGGAGTAAAGGTTTGGGATCCTCTGGTCATAGAATGCTGCTCAGATATGTACTATAGAAACCATTCTGAAGCATTTCAAAAGACATCCTGTTTCTCCTCTGGATACTGCAAAATTATCTTCTCCAGGCCCGAGGATGAAATGTATGTGAGAATGCATGAAGCCTGACACATGGTTAGCATTGATGAATGATAACTCATGTTATCATTGATGGAGATGGATGAAAGAAACGGAGTAACTAGCTTTTAAAACACAGTTTTACCTCCATAGTCATATCAACCACCTTAGATGAAAATATTGAGGAAAACAAAACAAAATTTCTGGTTAATTAAAGAATATCAGGAGGTCTTAGTAGATTCCAGGTTTTTCCTTCAATGAAATGACTTATTCAATAAAAAGCCTCCATAAGTACCGGGTCTTGTAGTTGGGTACATTCTTTGAGTCGTGGATCTGCCTCCCAGGAAGGTAGGCAGACACCAGTGAGGTGTCTGGTGCTTGGGATACAGTGAGTGGAGCCAAGCAGAGAATTCTTGGATCCGTTTGCAATGGGATTTCTGCATTTGCTGCCCCAACATCTGGAGCCAGCCTACCCAGTGCAGATGGAAAATAGCAAAATGCAAATTCTGTGTTGAGGGAAGCCAAAGCAGACAGAGCCTGAGAAGGCGGATGAAAGGTGAGTCAAAACAAAAGTCCAGGCAGGTGGCAGTGGCAGCGGCAGCGTTTTATCTAGAGCCTATGGCCCCGGGTAAGGACAGGAGATGAGACAAAGGACCTTAGAGCTATTTTTTTTTATTGTACTTGGGCTCTGGGGTACATATGCACGTCCTGCATCCTGCAGGATTGTTGCATAGGTACATACATGCCATGGTGGTTTGCTGTCTCATTCCCTTCCACCCCCCTCCCCATGAGCTATTTGGGCCACCTCAATGTTCATACGAATCCCCCTCCTTAACAGCCTGAAAGAGGGCCTGCTGGGCTCACAGCAGCCTCCCTCTCCTCTTCCTGATCCCATGCCTGCTCCATTGTTTTACTTCTCTGGATTCTACTTACCCCTTTCCCTTAAGAAGGAGATCCTGAAATAGATCCTGAGTCAATGATTCAGGTGCAAGTGCATTATTAAAGAAAGGCTCCCAGAAGAAATCCATTTGCACCTGAATCATTGACTCAGGATCTCCTTCTGGGAGAATCCAATTCAAGACAAGGCAGACAACCCAACCAAGATGCTCACAGCTTCCACTACTACAACCCTGGAAAAGATTCTGATTGGCCAGCTAAGGGTCACATGCCCAAACAGGCCTTTGATTGGCAGCTGTTGCTTCCTTCCTACTCCCTCCCACATATCCAGGAGCTCCAGCCTGTTATGGGATGGGCATCCTACTAGGCACCCAGGATGCTATGGTGAGCAGTCCTTGCCCTCATGGGTTTACTTACACTTAAGGGAAGAGAACCATTAGTCAAATCACCCCACATAAAGATCTTTACACACTGTGGAGAGTGCGGTGAAGGACAAGCACAGGGTGCAATCAGTGGGAGGGGCTGGGAAGAGAAAGTGCCGTGCTGGCTGCTGCTGTGTGGGGTGAGCTGTAGAGAGCAAGAATGAAAGCCACAGCAGGGGAGCTGGTCAGAAATTCAGCGGCTTCATTAGAGTGGTGGCCCTGGAGTTGGAGACAGGTGGGAAAAACTCAAGAGCCTTCTAGGGACCTAGCCCATGGCAGCCCATCGCCACCAAGTCCTTCTACTGCTCTAGGTTTAAAAAAAACCCCAAAAACAAAGCTACGTTGCAACACACTGCTACACCAGGAAACCTAAGGGGGAACAAAAGAAAACTGAGTGGTGCCCTCTAGGCTGAAGATTTGACCTATTATTTACTAACCTTTCCCTCCCTTTTCCTTATTTTCAACAAACACATCCATCTCCAGCCAACCATTTTAAATTCATCTCAACTTTATTTACTGCCTAAAATAAATGTCCACCATGGTATTTATCCATATTTTCATGATTTTTATTATTTTTTGGAGTGGGTATCTAAAAGATTCCCTGTTCCTGATTCTGGAGGTGACAGAGAGAAGCTGTTTTCTAATTTTTTGTGTGTGGAATTATTCACATATGAGGAAAAGAGATCTCAAAAATAGAAGCTCTTTCATTGTCTCTCCACAATGTAGCGTGGCCGCAAGTGGCCATTTTGTGGAGAGACAGTATTTGGGGTGGCTAAATCATTACCCTGAGGTGTGTCAGATGCTGCCAAGACCTCCTTCATGCATGTGGCCAAGAATGGGGGCTTCCTGGCTGGGGAGGTGGAGGCCCCGCTCTTCTGCCACTAACCTTGGTGTCAGTGAGCCCTGATCCACACTTCCTCTGAGCAACATCGAGGGGTTTGTCCGGGCTTGCCGAGCATATAGACCAGCCTTGTTTCTAAGAGATAGAGGGAACTAGAGCACTGGGGAAAGTCCCAAGTAACTCTAGCCCCCAGCTACCTGCTGTGGCTGAAGATGAGGACTTTGCAGCTTCAAGAATCCAACTGGCTGGTGCACATTGTCCCTATTGGCCAGATCATTTCTCCATGCAGCACTTCACTAAATTCATCAACTCATGTTTACAAATGACACGGCTTTGCTGGATCACGTATACTTCAGTCTTCAGAATCCATCAGGCACTCAAACCCCTTGGCAGTTCTAGTCTTCTCCCCTAGACATGCCTCTGCCCCTTATGACTCAGTTCCTTTTATTTCTACCATTTGTTTTTATTTTCTATTTCATTTGTTTACTTTTTAGAGGCAGGGTCTCTTACCCAGGCTGGAGTGCAGTGGCATGATCACAGCTCACTGCAGCGTCAAACTCCTGGACTCAAGTGATCCTCCTGCCTCAGCCTCCTGAGTAGCTGAGACTACAGGTGTGTTGCACGACATCTGGCTAACTTTTGCATTTTTTGTTGAGATGAGGGTCTCACTGTGATCAGGCTGGTTTCAAACTCCTGATCTCAAGCTGTCCTCCAGCCTTGGCCTCCCAAAGTGCTGGTATTATAGGCTACCATGCCTGGCCCTTATTTTCTTTTAAAAATGAGCTTCCCTTGTACCTAATTCCCATTCTACTTGTGTTATTCTATTTTTCCTGTATTATGCTCTTCCCTTGCTCTTCTTCTCCTCTCCCTTTCATTTTTTCTATTCTTCCGTCTCCTGCTACTGCATATGAATTAGATCTGCTCTCCAAATACCATGTGTATCACCATCTATTCAGTGGTAGAAGCTGTTCTTGCACTGGCTTGGAAGATGACAGTTCCCAAAGCATTCCCTATAGAGGCTGATTGATCTGACCCAGCTAATGATACCAGTTAAAATAATCCTGGCTCAAGGCCCATGAGACTCACCAGTCATTATGCGGTGTTGGAAAGTAAAACTGATTTGGCAGCCTCGTTAGATTATAATCAGCTCAAATCTTCTCTTCTGGCTTCTCAGAGCATCACATGTGTCCCTAGGAGCAGCAGAGGGGAGAAAACCACCTCTCCTCCCCAGCTTTCTGTATTTCTTCTAAGGTTCTTAGTTCAAATTAAATCTTTACTCTGTGAGAGCAGATAATGACTCATTGGCCACCACGACTCTCACCTTAAGTGGGATTCTAATTTGTTTTAGAAGCTACTATTGACCCCTAGGATAGCATCTACAATCTCGAGAGTGTAGTTTCAGGATAGTATGCACCAATAGATGCTGGGCTGAGAAATTGGGACCACATTCAGTAACAAGAGTGATAATAGCTACCACTTCCTGATTGCTTAGACACTTCTATAACAACTCATTTAATCCCTGGATCAATCCTATGGGGTATGTAATATCTTATTTTGGGAGGTAGACACTGAAGCATAGAGAGGTTAAGTAATTTGCCTAAAGTAATAGAGTCAGTAAGTGGCAGAACCAGATTGGAGCTCCAGGAGACTGGCTCCAGAATCCGTGCTATTCATAGTTCCCTCCATCACAGTCTGAAAGTTGGTACGTAAGCATGGCACAAAGACAGTGACACTTAGGAAGAGTTATTTGGAAGCAGAGAGATAGAATAATTGATGGAAAAGTCAAGGAATCCAGTAACAGAATCTCTGGTAATAATCCTGGTGTGTGAATATGGAAAGCTATATGAGAGATGACATGAAGGAAACATTTAGACTAATTTGGGACATAGAGGGGAGAGCACGGTGGGAGCATTCTACCTGAAAGCACGGTGGGACCAGGGTCAGACATGGGGGTGGCAGAAAGTGCCTTTGACTTGTGGTGACCCTGAGATTTTAGGCTGATAAGATTTCGAAGATGCAGAGATGAATCTTGGCTCTGGCTCCCCCACCCTTTCTTGCCCAACACTCTGTCCCCAAAAAGAGGGATGCTGCTGTGGATTAGTTGCACTCCATGGGGCCAGCATGCTTGAAGGCTAGAGGGTTGGGCTTTTGCTGGGAGAAGTGGAGAGGTTGGAAAGAAACACCCTGCATTCCTCATCTTCTCCATGTGTACTTTCTTAGTGTCTTCCCTCCCATGTGCTGGATCATGGGCAGTCTAGTCCAGGGCACCTGTGGGCCTGATTATCCCCCAATTCCCTAGGATGTCCTTTTGGCTGGGGCCAGGGGCAAAAAGCATGGAGAGGTACCTTCGGGGATGCACATGCTCACATTTTCACACATCCTCATACTTCCTCTTCTGGAGGGAAAATGGCAAGATAAGCCTATCAGGAACATGGTGGGGGCTGGAAGTAATAAGCCGGGTAACAGGATATCCACCTGCCTTCACTCTAGCTCTGGTGCTCAGAGGAATAGGGGTCCTCCCAAGCTCCCCAGGGTAGGGCTAAAAGTTTGGGACTGAAACTCCAGCCTGTGCTGACCATGCATTTTCCCTTAAGCCATTTCACTTAAGTGAATACTAGAAGTATCCTTCTCTGTACCTGGAGCAGGGGTCCTCAATGGCGTGCAGTTTAGGGGCCCAGAATCCACCTTTCTTAGCCATGACAATCTCACCTTTCTTTTGTCCACCCAAGCTGAAATTCCCTTCTGTAGTTCTTTAGTGTCCTAATCTGCCTATGTTTTCCCTTTTCAAAAAGATACCCAGCTTAAATATCCTTAAAGTATTTGGTGCAAAGAGCTAAAAGGAGCTATAAAAATAAAGACACCTCCTCCCTCAGGTATTCTGGTGCCTGACAAAATGATGACATCTGAAGCCCTGGTTATGAAGAGCTCTCATTGCCGATAAACAAATAAAAACCAGAGGCTATATGAATATTAATAATTTGGGAATGCGGGTGGAGGTATTGCTATTCTTGAACAACGTATGTTCACACTTCATCATGTTAATTAACAAAGTTCTTTTTCTTGTAATTTCAGCAGGAGGTATCCCAGGGTAAGAGAACAAGACCTGGATTTATGTGAATAGGATATTTTATTTCATCACTGAATCCAAATAGCGTTTTCCTAGTGTGAAAACAGATGGTAGAGACTTTATCTGTGGTCAAAAGCATTATGTCTGAGAGTGAACCCTTCTTTGGCAGGCAGATTTGAATAAATTCAGGAAGTGATTTAAGACATGATACATCTCCTAGAACCTAATCCATGGCAGGTACTTTTATTAACAAAATTTATACACTCAAAACAGTGACTCAGAGAATCTAATTTTCATTTTGGCAAATCATATTTTTTTTTTTTTTTTGCCATCAACTATATATGTGAATACTAGAAGTATCTCAGAAAACTAAGTCTGTGAGTCAGAGTTTGCATGCTTCCCACACCCTAGCTGAAGAATTTCTTCTGATTTGGTTGTTAAGACCTCTGTGTGTTTGATAGAAATTATTTGGGTGAAGTAATCAAATCCTGGCTTGCTATTTACCTTATTAGATACCAAATTATAATTTTGTATCTTCAACAAGGAAAAGTTTAAATAAGACACTGTACTTAAATGATGTTTGGAGCCATTGCAAACATAAGGAGGTATTTTTTTTTTTACAACATACAGCTTTTGTACAAAGCCAAATTTCTCCTATATTTTCAATGGAAATTAGAAAATTAGGTTAACTCTTCCCTGCTTCCAGAGTGTAATTGGATAACTGTGGTTTTGGAACCAAAATGGAGTACCTGCAGGGACGTTTCTGAGAGCCAAACACAGATGTGGAAATAGCTGGAAGGTATAATGTGTCTACAGTGACTTACTGTCATAGTCTACTTTTGGGTCAATTTCCTTCTCATAGTCCATCGGTGAACTTTTTGGACCGTGATTTCTTGAATATTTCTTTTTAATTTCTTTTCACCTCCATCAATACATTGACAAATTCATGTAATGAAGAAGGTTTAGATGACGCAGTGCCAGAGCTGGGTGAGAGCTCTGAAGTGAACAAGGTAGAGGCAATGTGCACCAGTGAAATCTTCACGTGGCCACTTAAGGCCCTCCGTAGACCTAGGGGGTCTCAAGCTTTACTGTGATGAGAATCTCTTGGTTGGCAATCAATTGCCTTGTAAACAAAACAGAACAAAATTCTGAACTAATAATCAGGGATGGAGGCTAAAGGAATCTGTATTTTTCACAATCGTTCCAGGAAATTCAGATGCAGCTGGTTGAAGGATGACAGTCTAGGAAACACTGCATACAGAGTCCCAACTCTATGGCACCCTCATGCTCCAGAAAATTGATAATAGTTATTAAAGTCCCTACTTTTCTTTGCATAAAAATCAGGTAGTTCGATCTCAGCAAATGCAAATGAACAAATGGATGTGGCATGTCTACTGCAGGAGGCTTTAATGTTTCTGATTCTTTCTTCTCCAAGGTTGGGAGACACAAAGTGAGGGCAGATGGTCTCAGAGATGTGACATGGTCAAGTGACCAATGAAAGCAGTGTAAGAATGTGTATCTAGGTTTTCAATACCCTGTACTTGAATCACTTTTTCTTTGTTGACCTGTAAGCCAATAAAAAACAATGGGAATCAGACAATTAGTAAATAAATACCGAATCAGGAAAAGCACAGAGGATGATGACATGAGGCAGCAGGGATCTAGCTTATTGTGCAGGGGCAAGATACAGTGACAACTCAAACAGCTGTGAGTTATAATGCTCTAGGAGCTGTGTGAGCACAAGAGGATTCTCATGCTCAAGATGCTATTGTGTGGCTTTGATAAATGTATTTAGAGCCTTATTATTCTGAGGGTCCACATGTAAAAGGTATGAATGGGGCACAGTGTACACAGCATAGAAATGTATTTTGTGACCTACAACACAAAGAAAATGGAGCTGTGGCTCTCAGAGCTTTTAGATAATTTGGCAACTGTTTCTTGTGCACTTACTGTGTGCTCAGCATTGAGCCCAGAGCAGATAGGCATGACTCATGTTCTGTGTTGTACACCAGCCAGACAGCTGCCCTGCATTTCTCAGAGCCAAACCGATGCTGGCTTTCAGTTGCTCAGTGTGGCAGGCAGATACAAGCAGCTTTCTGGTGTTCTGGGCTTTCACGCTCTTTTAAGGCGCCAACTCTATCCCTCAACCTGAAGAGATTAAAATGTCAACTAATTGCTGCACATCACTGATTTCTAGTTCAAAACTTGAGAAAAAAATTACTGAAGACCATCGACACACTTGAGAGATGTACCTAACCCTGTGAATTAACAGTGCATGGGAAACAGCATCAGGTAAATGAGCCATATGTGGGCTTTGGGGCCCCTGGACCTGATTTCAGCCTGTAATTTTGTCACTTCTTGCTCTCTCTGAGCCATAGTTTTCTCCTCTCCAAAAGAGAGATCATTCTACTTACCTAATCAGATTCACGTAATCATTGATAAAATACAAATACATATGGCACCGTACTGGCCCATCATAGGGACTTAAGAAATAGAAAATGCTCCTTTCTGCTCCTTGTCCTTATATTCTGGGCCTTCCTAAAATATCGTCTCATTTTTGGTTAAACCTCTAAGTCAAGCAGATAGTACATTTTGGTTTGCACTTTCCTAGAGGGCAAACTGCTTGGGAAGAAGCCCTGTGTCAGAGTTCACTGCAAAATGAGCAGAAAATATTCGAGTTCTAAAAAACAGGACTCATCATCTTCCCAGGGGTTTGTTATAGCCCCCGAATTCCTGCCAGGAAACAGAGCCTGAGACAAGGGTTTGTGTGCAAGTAGCTTATTTTCGGAAGTGATTTCAGGGAACTGGAGTAGAGGACTGGGAAGGGGGAAACAAAGAAAGAAGGGAAGCCAATACCTACAAAGTTGTGTTATCAAGTTTGGTTGCAGTTGTGGGAAACTGGAGCGTGATCCTCCTGGGACTCTCTGACAGCTGTGAAGAATGAATCTCATGATTGCCTACTCAAGGGACACAATGGGGGCAGGCTTCCACAAGCTCCCATCCTTGATTGGTCAAGCATCAGCCCCAGGTGTTAACTGCTTCACACTGCTGGGTTTGCACAAGTGCTGGGTAATTCTCATAGATGTCCTAGGCCAGGCGTTTGAGAAGCCCCAAGCCATTATGCAGCAGAAGTGAGGTGTACTTAGGAAAACGAGTAAAATGTGGGATCCAGAGAATGTGAAATGGACATAAGCCACATCCAGTATAGGGCTTCATCAGCAGAAAAGTGAGCAAGTCTGCTTCTCCTTTCAAACTTTTTACAAAAGTAGCCACTGGAATATTCTTCAATTGCTTCCAGTGGCTTTGGACAGCCTCACTGTTCTCTTGGTTTTCTGAAGTCTAATTGCATGTACAGGCTCAGTAACTTGGCACTTCGTGACATATCTCTTCTGTGTCCTTCAATGTATTTCTGTGTTTTAACTGCATCCCCCTTTCCCATGAAAGACATCAGTTTCTTTGGGTAGCTTGGGATGGAGTCTTCAAATTCCTTTTTATCCTATCAACTCCTAACTGTGCTCTGCAGAAACCTGTTGACTTGAGCTCACTTGGTAGATGATAAATTCTTTCTCTCTATGCACAATTATCTTTTCAAAGGCCTGTGGAGTCTTCCTACTCCTTAACTCTATTGAGACCCTCACCAATTTCTGGTGCTTGGAAAGCAGTATTTTTAGTGAGAGGCAGGGAGCAGGGAGCACAATGCCAGTGCCTCAGGGTGTTGTAGGGTTTTCATCAGCGATTCATTCTGCACTCTTTGTATTTGGTTTCATTCTGATTGCTTCACAGCCAATAGCACTCAGAAGGGACATATATTTAGACTAAACTCTAAGCCTCTTATTGAGACTTTCTGTATATAATGAAACACAAATGTGCTGATCCTTTCTCTGCCTAATTTTTTCCTTTTCTAGTGAAGCCCTTGCCAGCTGTAGATACCGTGTGGTTATGAGCGGTGACTAGGACCTGCAATGGGTCATCAGAGGACTAGTATTTGCCAATTTATTTATTTATTTTTGAGACAGTGTCTCACTCTGTCGCCCAGGCTGGAGTACAATGGCATGATCTTGGCTGACTACAACCTCTGCCTTCAGGGTTCAAGTGATTCTTGTGCCTCAGCCTCCCAAGCAGCTGGGAATACAGGCACCTGCTCTGCCCCCATGCCTGGCCAATTTTTTGTATTTTTAGCAGAGATGGGGTTTCACTATGTTGGCCAGGCTGGTCTCGAACTCCTGACCTCAAGTGATCTGGCTGCCTTGGCCTCCCAAAATGCTGGGATTACAGCCACCGTGCCCTGCCTGGAATTCTTTTAGATGGCAAGGTATCCAGGTTACCCTCAGCATTTCTTACTGTGAACCTGGAACCACTTATATAAGTTACTCCTGAGCTGCCACATTCCGCGGGACAGTCGTACTACACGACTCCCAGGAGGCATTCACATCACAGTCAGTATAAATGTGCTTCCTGGAGAAGTGCAGTGAGTAAGCTGCGTGGCCACAAATAGTGGCCCTACCTGAGGCCCCATCCCACTTCTCCTAAATCAGAATTTCTAGGAGGGGACCCAGGAATCTTCATCTTCACAAATCTCACAGGTTCCTGTTAACACTAAAGTTTGAAAATCACTGCTAAGGAGATAGGTTTTGAGAAAAAGATATATCAGAAGAAAAGGAATGTGGGAAATTATCTCAGCATCTATGCTGTCCCTGGATCCTTTGCTTCCCAGGCTTAAATGTATACAGTGGGCTTCATGGATAATTCAGTGAATCATTGCCATTCAGACTAGGATGGCACTGCTAGTGATCTGGTCATCTTTTCATCTCTTTCCTAGTAGGCCTCGCTTGTTTTATTTTATGTGAGCTTTTATATTCAAAAATTTTAAGAGAGAAGCTCTGATCAGGGCACTTCATATTGAAAGGTGACCCCCACTGGGTAGCATCTAAAGCAGAGTTATCTCCTTGGCAACTGGTCTTACTCATGTTCTGTTTACTTGTACGTGGCTCCCTTTGGCCTGGGTCCTCATATTTAATTTCAATGAACATTAGCTATGGTATCTTAAGAAAGGACTACCTATGACTGATTTTCTCTGAAGGGAGCTGGGGGCATGGCCAGGACCTAGTGCTTTATTCTTTGTTAGGACAGAAAGAGAATATAATTACTTAAAACACCATCCCAGATGACATGTCCCATAATAATAAGAGCTAATATGTGCTGCAGCAGGCATTTTTTCTAAGTACCTCAAAAACAATTTTTTTGTAACAGATGTTTTGTTATCCTCATTTTAGAGATTAAAAAGTTGAGGCATAGAACTTGCCCAATAGTTCAGAAGTGGTCTCACAACTGGAACCCACACAATTTAGCTCCAAGTTGCTATTCTTTATGACTGTTGGGGTCATGGCAAAAGATCAATGTGTGGGGTGTGTGTGTGTGTGTGTGTGTGTGTCAAATATTGTGTGTGTCTACAGGCATGTGTGTGCACAGGTGTGAATATATGTATGTGTGCTAGAGGTAGGACAGGGATAAGAGGGAGAGTGCAAGGCACAACTTAGTTCAGAAAGGCAAGAATATGTGGAAGTCTTCATTGATGCATGTTGTGGGAGGGAGTTGGGAGACAGTGACAGATGCCACAAAGCCTCAAGACAGAGCTGAGATTGCCTTGAGGACCAGAGAGGATTCTAGCAAGAGATCCTCAGGACTTTTTCTTACTCCTTTGCTGACTTCTTATAAATGACTAGATACCCACCTGACTGTCCATGGTGACAGTCAGAATATAATTTGAAAAATAATCCCACATTAAAAATAATCCCACATTAAATGCCTTTCTATGGAGCCGTAACTTCCATCTTAGCCAATACCTTCCATGGCCTGACTCTACTTGATAGACAAGCCCTGAGAATTTAGGGATAAACAGTTGTGGATATGAGTGTGTTTAAGGAAAGAAAACGGAGAGGGTTGTATTCACATCGCCAAGGAACATAAAGTTTGCAGTAGGAGTGGAGGACTGGAAGACTACCTTATCCTGAAGACCACGGTTAGGATTCAAGCCTACAGCTGCTACCAAGCCTGCAATCCAGTTTCCACTAAAGATGGGACAATTATTCCAGTAATTCAGGAGGGGAGCTGTTGAATTAATAAAATAATTATCACTTTCTTTCTTTTCTTTTTTGTATTTAGAGAAAGATTTGATCTGCTTCCTTCAATGTGTGCCACATCTCTGGGCTTGTGCTGCCTCCTAAGTCCTTAGACTTTCTTGAGCAAGACGCAATGGCCAGTGAAATATCCTTTTCCTGGACCTGTATGGGCCTTGACAAGATCTTGGGGATTCTGAAACTGCACCTTTTCACTTTCCTTAGCTAGTTTTCTTGCAATCAATGGTTTAGAGACTAACAAGAGGTCAGGTGTGGTGGTTCATGCCTGTAATCTTAGCACTTTGGGAGGTCGAGGCAGGCAGATCACCTGAGGTCAGGAGTTTGAGACCAGCCTGGGAAACATGGTGAAATCCTGTCTCTACTAAAAATACAAAAAATTAGCTGAACATGGTGACACATGCCAGTAATCCCAGCTCCTGGGGAGGCTGAGACAGGAGAATTGCTTGAACCTTGGGAGGTGGAGGTTGCAGTGAGCCAAGATTGTGCTGTTGTACTCCAGACAGAGTGAGACTACATCACTAAAAGAAAGAAAGAAAGGAAGAAACATGCAAGGGATATTTGGTTTGAGAAGAAGAAAATGGTTATTTAGTGTTTCATGTTATTTCCAAGTCACAATTGGTTTCTTGTTGATTGGAAATGATTTGACATAGTCCTGGCTAGGTAGGGAGATGAACAGGATGACCTTTGATCTCCCAAATTCTGAGTAGGCAGGTGGGTTGTGCAAGGTGTAGATTCTGCCTAATATTTGGCACACTATGTGAATTGGATACTTAAATACTCCAAATAGATTTTGGTGCTCAGAGCAGACTTTGAAGGAAGGGGCCATAGTTCTCTCAGTCAGTTGTTCTTCTGGGAAATACCCACAAAGATCTTCTCTGTCTTAGGCAGAATGATTACTCCAGAGACCTTAGGAGTTTTAAGACAGCCAAATGCAAGATAAGAAAGGCTATCTTGGAGAAGATCGGCTGTTCATCCCCACTTGGACTCTTGGATATAGCACATTATTGAATTCAAGGCAAGAGGCCATCCTTTCCTTAAGACAGTAAACTCTCTGTTTTCTGAAGTGAATGGAAAGAAAAGGATGTTTTTGTTCCCTATATCAGTTTCTAGAAATGAGTATATTGCACAGTGTGCTTCAAACTGTGATGCTACTGAATATAATTTACTGTTATTTAGATGTTTCAGAAGCCCCTCTGGGATCCTGTCAAGAGTCAGGAAAAAAAAAGGGCTTTCATGTTATAAAATATTCTAAACCAACCATGCAATCAATTGGAACTTACAATTTACATGTAACTGTCAAGGGATTATACCAGTTATGTGGGAAACATAAAGAGATATAAGCTATAGACACATTGATGGCAAACAGAGTTACATCTACATGGGTTCTTTGTCGGAGCTTAAGACTAGAACTCAGTATTTGGTGCTTGTGATGGGTTTAGTAGATCTGCCCCGTGTCCACTTCACTTGCCTTCTAATACGCCTTCCTGAACTGCTGAGCCTGGAGAACCAAACTCCACATTTCTTGCACACCCCCGCCCTCAATGATTTAAATCCAGCCATGATGTTGCACTGGTGCAAGGTGAGGAAGGCAGAAATGAGCAGAGGCTATGCTTTTGCTGTGTCTGCTTTTTCTTTTGGAATTGCTTGTGGAGGCATTTGCATTTTCTGTGGCAGTGTTAGCGGAAGTTTGTGGGTGTCAAGAGGTGAGTCACAGAGATCTTCTTCTGCAGGTGAGGATTAAAGCATGTCTGATCTGATGTGGAGACAATTTCTGTCCATAAAAGCTTCCACACAGTGATGGCTTCCTGACCTCGGCAGTCTATGGTTTAGGACGTGGTGGTTTCCTCATCTTGGGTGACCCAAGAGCTTCCTTGGTGACCCAATTCTACGATGTGACATTGGGAGCCATTTCTGAAATTTCAAACTTAGTCTGTTTTTTTGGCTCTCCCAATGATTCAGTGAGCTTTTTAATGCTCTGTAATCCTTTCATGCTTAAACTTGCTAGAATGGCTTAAGTTCTCTGCAATAGGACCCTGACGATGACTGTTATTGGTGCCAGGAGGGTTACAGACAACAGACTCTAAAGAAATTGGAGATATGGATTTGTGTTTTCTGACTTGATTGGGTTTGAAAGAAACGATGATTAGGTTCGCATTAGAATATGGAATGCTAACAGTGCTCGACATGCAGTGGCAAAATAGTTACTTAAAATATCACCCATCGGTCACTTGTAATAAAGTGCCCAGTGAAGACAAGGCTTTAGTGGACTGAATGCCTGCTAATCATTATGGAGAAAATGAGGAAAACAAGGACTGTGGCTGTCTCTACCTACACTGGAGAACTTTAAGAAAGTTTTTAAATTTTTAAGTTTTAAAACTATTTTGGTATGAGGCATGATCTGAGGACCAAGGAGCTTCTGTGACTTTCTAGAAGAATCATTTATTTCATGTAACCACAGGGTTGACACATTCTCTGATCACATGCAGTTTGATCTTGTGCGTTGATGATAAAAGATGGTCTGAACTCACAGCATCACTAGGTCACTTACATGAAAACTTGGGTATTGATTGGGAAGGGGTGAGACCCTGAGAAGTGAAATGGAGCCTTCTGGGTGAGTTCAACTAAACCTGAGGACACAAGTTCTCCAAACTCCATCAAACTTCCCTTGTCAGTAGACACATCTCCTCCTCTGTCTGTTGAGGCTGGTCTCTCCTTGTTTAGAGACAATGGTCTTGCTGAGGTAGTTTTCATGCAAGGGGCTGCCATATTTCTTCCTGTTCTTCTCTCCCACCATTCATTGTTTTAGACCCAGAACACCCTAGAAGGACAACACCTATCTTAAGAAGCAAAAGTTTACACACTCAAAGACTGCAAGATTTTGCTCATTTTATTTCAGAAAAACCTGGGGAATAGGTATGGGAGTGGATTAGAGGAATCTAGGCCACAGAGGAAGAGGCAAAATTTTAAATCTGGCTTGATTCATTGGTGTGAGTTCATTTTTCTAGGTGGTACTGATGGGAACGGTTGTAATTTGGTCTGTCTGATTGACTGGAAACAGGACTCCATGGTGGCATACTCGCAAGAAAATTGAGGTGTCAGAAATTCATAGGGGGGAGGGATCCAAACATTTAGGAGGAAGAACTATTGAAATGGATGTTTCATGTATGACCCAGTCACTCACCAAGGATGCTTTTTTCACCAAGGCAATGAGAACACAATTGTAAGAAACACATTATTGAAAAGTATTGCAGTGGAGTCCTCTGTAGGCCAGGAGTGAAGGTAGAAAATGCTGTTATTGAAATGGGCATTTCGATATTAATGGGTATGTTGAGATGCTGGCGTGGCAGAGGCCAAGTGGCAATTCTTGAATGCTGGACGCAGGGTGGAAACAGCTGGCAGCAGGATTGGAGTGGCAAGCTGATCTTTGTTGTAGGTTAATTGGCCATTGAGTTTCCAGGAATGAGTAGATGACTGGTCTGTCAGGATCAATATAATTAAAAAAATACTGTAGATCTGGAAAACATAGGCCCAACTTCACCCAATTTCTAGACGAAGTAGTTTATAAATGTAGGGCCATTGAATAAAAAGGAAGCCAGGATCCTGAGATCCTACTAAGAGAGTGTACTATAAATCTTCCTCCTAACCTTCCTCAAAGAAACTTGTAGCAATTTAACAACTCAGTTCTGCGCTAGGGAAAGGGAAAAATACCAAGACTTTTGAGGGCTTATTGTATTCTAATTTTTATTAACATTAATCCCCTGAGACCAAACATATCACTGTGGTTCTTTAAAATTAACGAGTAGAATTCCTGTCTGAGTTTATCTCTCAGTGATGTGAACCTAGAGGGTTTGTGAAGCCATCTTGCGATTATTTTCTCAACTCCTGAATGCATAGTTGGAGTACATATTTCAGTACCTGGAGAATTACCACATAGGTTTTGGGGAGTAAAGGTTATTATTAACTGTCAAGGGTCAAGTGGAAGCTGCAAGTACCTCACCTATAAAAATAGTAACACCACCCCCTTCAAGAAAAAATAGTACAACCTTAAGGAAATAACAGAGAAAAGGCAGGGATGATGATTTTTCTTGTTTGTATTAAACTCATGTATTTGGTCTTTACAGAAAAACTATGGGTCTTGGAGATTGACAGTAGATTACTGTAAACTTTCTCAGATGGTGACTCCAATTTTGCTGTTTCACATGTCAAATTAATACATAGTTTCTGGAACCTGGTATGGAGCCATAAATTTGGCAAATACATTTTTTCCTGTTCTAGTTAGTACTGATACTAGAATCAGTTGTCTTTTACTTCACAGAGGTGTAGTACATTATCCCTATCTTATCTCTGAGCTGTGTCAGCTGCCAGGTTCTCAGTCACATTTCAGTTTGCAGGGACATTGATCATCACACCATGCTATAGAACATCATGCTGGTTCACTACATTAATGACATTATTCTATTGGGCCTGGTGAAAGAAGCAGCATGTACTCTTGGTAAGATGTGTACATGACAGAGGATATTTTAAAAATCACAGGAACATAAGGACCCATCACTTTGGTAAAATTGATGGAAGGCCAGTGGCCTGGAGCATTTTGGGATACCCCAACCAAAATGAAAGACCAGTTGCTTCACCTTTCACTGTGAAAGAGGCACAAACCTGGCAGATCACTTTTGGCTTTAAGAGACAGTATATATACCACATTTGGATATGCTCCTTGGACCCATTTACTGAGCAATCTGTATGGCTACCAACTTTGAGTAAGGCCCAAAGTATTAAAAGGCTTTTCAGATGGTCCAGATTGCAGAGCAAGCAGTGCTACCACTTGGCCCTAAGAGCCCAGCTGATCTCATAGTGGCTGAAGTGTTTGTATCAGATGAGGATGGTGCATGGAACCTGTAGCAAGCCACTCTAGGAGAATTACAGTGTAGTTCCCTGGGGTTGTGGAGCAAAGCCAGGCCCTATTTGTCAGTTGACTATTCTCCCTTTGAGAAACAGTCCTGGTTTGCTTTTCATAAGCTGGCTGTTAGTTGGCTAACTATGCTGCAAGAATGGGTCTTCTCATCCTTCATTTTTCACTGTTATGTGGTCTTGAAGACACAGTTCATTGTAATTGTATGAGCCAGGAGGGGAGGCTCATGCTGTTAGGACATCACCCACTGCATCACCCTCTTCCTCAATCACCACCTTTAGGTTCCTTGGGAAGGCCCAATGAACAAGCTATCTGAAAAAGAAAAAAAAAATCAAGCCCAGTTTGTGGATGCACCTGCATGACATTCTTATGTTAGTAGAAAGTCAACTGATGTAGCATTACAGCACCACTCAGCGGTGATCCTGAAGTGGGGGAAAGAAAACCTGTCAGTGGGCAGAAATTGTCAATGTTGCCTGAACATAAAGATGTTCAGAGGTCCAGATCAACACAGATTTATTGGTTATGGCTAATGGGCACTGGATTAGCTAGTGTCCAGATCAACACAGATTTATTGGTTATGGCTAATGGGCACTGGATTAGCTGGGGAAAAGAAATTTGGAAGGCAAAAGATTGGAATATTGGTGGCATGAAAGACTGCAGAAGACATATGTGACTAGAACTTACAGGATGGGCACAGAATATGAGGATATGTGTAAACTATACATTTGTTCACAATAACCATGTATTGATGAGAAATTGCTAAAAATAAACTGGGCACATTGACCTGTTTTGTGAATGTCTGTAAGCCTCTTTCCCCAGTCTGATGGATTGTTTCCTCACAATTAGACTCAGGGGATGCACTTTTGGCAGGAATACCACCCAAACTGATGTTGTGTCTTTCTCAATGGAAAACATCAGTTTGCACATGATGTCAGTTTGTCTCATTGGATTGGAATTTGAGATTCCCATTGAACATTTTGGACAAATTGTGCTGATGAACCAACAGGCAAAAGAGGGGTCACTACTTTGTCAGCAGGGTGATTAATCCCAATTATCAAGGGGAAATAGGATTGCTGTTATATAACAGGACCAGGAAAGAGTATTTTTGGAACCCAGGGGATCTTGTGAGTCACCTCCAAGTAACGTCATGCCCACTGGTAAAAGTTATCTTATATTTGTATTATATATTTAATTTACATATTTAATATGAACTTTTAATGGAAGACTGCCGACATCTAGTATAATCAGGATTACCAGAGGCTCAGAGCCATTAGGAATGAAGATTTGGGTGACTCCATCAGATAAGTAGCCTGGCTGAGCTATGCTGCTGTCTGAGGTCAAAGTACCTCATAATCGGTTGTGGAGGAAAAAAATTATAAGTGCCAACTACAGCCTTGTGATGATAACTAGAACGATCATAAACACCGACATTTTCTTCCTTTCTCTGTTATGTATATTTTTAATATATTAACCATTTTCCACTTCTCACAATTTCCCTCATCCTCACAATTTTATAAATGGCCTACTGACGTTGGTTAACTTTGTAAGGTAATTTATATCTTGCGTAATATAATATAAATGGAATTTACGGTGGGGTTGTGACTAAACTAGAGAAGAAATGAATATCACCCAAAGATAGAGGAAGGGACTTAGAGGACTTTGGGTCTCTCCTTTTGAAGAAAAGTGAGTACTTTTTCTTTTTTTCGTGTAAGAGACAGTTAGGAACTTAGAATACAGGCAGAAAGTAAGCACATAAATTGAAAAGTCAGAGGAACAGTCTATGGAATTTATAGTGGATTGGTGTTCAATATCCACTCAAGCTTTCTTCTAGAGTACTTGCTTCAACTACAAAAATTAGAAAGTAAAAAAATTACTTTCCCCAGACTCTCTTGCAGCTAAGGTTTTGGATGGCATTTAAGCTGAGCCAGTTAAACATATTTTTGCAAGATCTGGAGAGCAGGAGTGAGGCGAAGGCTGTACTTTCGCTGCCCTGGCTTTTTTTTTTTTTTTTTCTGGAAAGCACAGTTATGGAAGGTTTTTTTTTCTTCTTCTTTTCTTTTTTTTTGCAGCGTTAACATAGATACTAGCATCTGATAACCGAGTTGATGAGCACTAAGAGGCTGGCCATGGGCATTGCTTCTGCTGGTGTGTGTCATGGGAAGCAGGTGCAACTTCCTGATATGGGAGCTTTTGCATTGTTGCAGCTTCCTCGTTGTAGTAGGGGCAGTATGATTCCAGTGTCAGCTGCTTCCTGATCACACAAGAGGTAGAAGCTTGGAGGTAACATTTCTACTTCATGGCTTTTGTTCCTGAAAGGTTGATTTGGAGGGTATTTATTTAACTCTTTCAATGATTCAGTAAGCCGTTTAATATCCTATAATAAATAGATTTTCCTGCCTAAACTAGCTACAGTGGATTCAGTTCTTTGCAAGTAAACCCTGATCAATGTAGAGCTTTAGGGACCCAGTGTCCTGTGCCAACATTTTATATGAGAAGCAGACAAGGCTCAAGTATGGCTTCTCCATTGTTGATCATAGTTATGCCCTCTATTATTATGGAGAGAAATCTGTCAACAATTATATGTCGGTTTCTATCTTGTATTGTTCTTTCATCAGCCTTTGATAGGAAACAGTTATGGTCTGAAGAGCATGAGACAGAAAACTGTCGAGACACTGAGAAGTTAATGACAGTGCCTCTCAAACTCACCTGCATGTTAGAATTGTCAGGGGAGCTTTGAAAATTCCTAAGTTTTGGGCAGTCTCCAGAACAATTAAATCAGACTTTCTGGGTCTGGGCCCCAGGATTCAGTGTTTTGAAAAATTCCCAAGGAATTCCAATGCGCAGCCAAGGTTGGAGAAGCACTGCCATCTGGGAAGAGAGAGAGGTGAACTCTCCGGTTATGTATGAGTTGCAGTTGGGGAGAAATAACATGGTAAGGTAGTAATTTACTATTTTACAGCGAGAAATTAAAAATTGGGCTTAAATTAGCACTCTGTTGGCAGAGCTGATTTCCTCTCTGCAGACTCTATAGGAGAATCTGCTTTCTTGCCTCTTCTGATTTCTAGAGGCTTCCTGCCATTGTCAAAGCCAGCAAAGGCTGGTTGAGCCTTTCTGGCAATGCCATATCTCTGGTTCTGACCTTCCTGCCTCCCTCTTCCACATTTAAGGACCCCGTGATTACATTAGACCCACTGGGAAAACCCCAGATAATGTCCCCATTTCAAAATCAGTTGATTAACAACTTAATTTCACTTTCAGCTAGAATCCCGTCTGGCCATGTAACCTAACATATGCGTAGGTTCCAGGGTTAGGATGTGGTTGTGTTTGGGGCGCCATTATTCTACTTATCCTGAAATAATAAAGAACAGGGGCACTGGGGAAGAGGTACCCTAGTGGTTTCCTCCCACACATTTTTTAGATTGGAAGAGGCAATTGGAGGGTTTATAGCACTCAAAAATCATTATGCTATTAATTCAGATGTGACAGGAAGCCTGGTACATGGTACATTCATACTTCTGTAAGAAGTAGGTTTAGCCAAGGCAGAATGGATTGCTAAGAAACTAGATACATTTGTGATTTGTGCTTTGCCACTGTCACCTATTTGCAAAGTTATATTTAATGACTTGAATCTTCTTTGCAGTCACCCGGATGCCTGGTTATGGATGGCGGGAGAATGCAAGTACACCAACCTTGCAGTTAGCTGATCCGTAGCCTCATGGTAGGGTCCAGGAGGGGCCTGCTGCACATAGGTGGTCCTGCCAGCGAATTGTTTTTCTTTTTTAAAGAGAGATTGAATATTAACCATTCTAAATTGAAAATTGTTCTTTAGGCAGATGTCCTCCAAAATGGATTGCCTGCATATCTAGTACCCACCTGCTGCAAGCTTATTCATCTAGTTCCTCTGGGGGCACACTGGGCAGCTAATTCATCCAGGTGGATTCACTGGAAGCTGTTGCTCATGAGAGTATTTCTGAGATTTTTTTATTCATGTATGTATTTTTGCTGACCTTGCTGAATGACTGGTAAGACTCATTTAAGTATTTTCCATGCCAAGAGTATCAGAGCCATGATCCATGGTATAGAATGCCACAAGCTTAGCATTCATTTGTTGCCATGCTGGAGCAGACTCTGTGTCTCCAGGAAATTCCTGGTTTTGCTCACTGGGAACCCTGCAGATGCTCACTTTGCCACTTGCTTTGCCACAAGCATCTGAATCTACCCTTAGCCAGCATCTCAGACTCTCTACACACTGAGTTCTTGACTGGAAACTAGTAATCTATATCTCCCTGGGGCCACACTAAAGGGGCATGAGGGGCAGAGTTAAGTTGCAATAATAAGACCAAAGTTGGGTATCTTCGGCTCACTGACTGTCTCTGTCCAGACTCTCAGGCCTTTCAGCCTCCCCTCTGTGTGCCCTGCCCTGCTGTCCTCCTGATGATTCCAGAGGCTCCTGCTGTTTCCTTCTCTCTGATCCCCAGGTTGGCCTCCTGGGCTCTGGCTCCCAGGTTGCTGCTCAGGCTGCCTGGATACTTCTCTCTCCAGCTAAATTTCAGTCACAATGGGCTTTTCTCAGTCTTGACTTTCTATTTTTATTGATTTTGCCCCTGTTGCTGCTGACTCTTTATTCTAATAAATATTAGTATTGCATGTGTTCTTGTTGTAAAGCTCTTCAAATTCTCCATGGGACCAATACAGGACACAAATAAGCACACAAGAATATTAATCTTGATGTCCCTCTCTCCAGCAAAAGATTGATGATGAACGTCAGCTGTTTATTTTAATCCAGCACATTGAAAGGGCAGGGGTGATGGTGCAGATTTCACTCATTTCACTATGGCAATCAAGGGGGTTCTTGGTTGCCGACCATGAAAGGAAAGCTTTACCCAATCAGACACACTTTCCAGATATTTCAGATAGGTAAATGGTCCATGAAGCCAATAAAACCTGAATCGAATCCCAGGGATGAAGAGTAGGAAAAGAAATCATCACCTGGGTCTTTTATTTTTGTAAAGAAAAGAAAATAAATAGAGCTAATGGCATTTCCACTGTTGGAAAATGTTTTCTGACATAAATAAAAAGTATAACAATTTTAGCTCAATTGGAGGCATTAACAATCAGATAAAAATGGTCATTTTGGATTATGCATCCAGGGTAGAAATGATCCTGTGGGAAACTTGTAAGACTTCCTGGCTGATTGTTGCTCTCTCTTTTTCCCCTTCCTTTTCTCTCCCTCCTCACCTCTTACTGTGCATTCTTTCTTCTATCTTTTCCTCCCTGTGCCTACTACTGGGTGGAGTTTCCATGTGGGCCCCACTGTTGTGCTAAGAATAGCACTAGCTGCTATTTTTCAAGCCTTTACCACTTGCCAGGCACTGTGCAGAGCACCCTAGATACATTACCTCACTTATTGCACCCAACAGCCCTCCAGGAGGATGGGCGTATTTGTGTAATGAACCCGGTCTTGACACAGTGTTTAATTGCTTTGTTATGCTCTTTGTCAGCACTCCAAATAATAAAGTTTATTGGTATTCTTACCTTTTTCATGCTTGACTTAAAATATATTGTAAATATCATGTTGGCCACTGAAAAGAACTAGCAGGCAGGTTATGGGGAATTGGAGTTATGCTTTATTATTATTATTTCTTATCCTTTCCCTGAGCAGTAATTACTGGTGGTAAATGAAAGTTCTGGGAGCTGTTGTTTCATATTGAAATTTAACTGCTTCCTTCCCCGCAGTAAAATAGATACTGGTGAGATGGAGCCAGGATGAGTAAGACCATAAGATGTAGGAAGGTGCTAAGCCTTGAACTCAGCTTCTCCTTATCACCTCTATATTAAGCATCATTTTCAATGCGTAATTATATGAGAAAATGAAAGTGCCAAGTCTCTACACTGTATATTCCCCAGGAAAGAACTTCCAGGTTGTCTCTGGAAGATCCAACCTTTTCAGTGGGAAATCAAGAGAGGAAGGTTGGTCAGTGGAGGCTGGGGTTTCTGTTTTGCATTTTTCTTTCTCCTAGAGTGTACATTACCTCCACTTTGCTCACTGTCCTAGTGAACTCACCTGTGTACAGAGTTCTCCAGAGTTCTTCTGCTTCCCAGGTAAGGCCCTGAAAATTACTTACTAAGTCAGAATCTATGGGGCTCCTGGGACTGGCACATGGTCCACCTCCAGGCAGCCTGGTTTCCACATGGGGGAACTTGTTGAGGTACGAGGACACTGAGGGAGCACAGCCTTGCATCAGATGCTAATGATCTTTCATCACGTGCTCTGAGGCTGGAACAACCATGGTTAAAACTGATGCAACAGGATGGAAGGGGCTGGGAGCACTGGGAGTTAAGTTACCCTTGCAAAAGGGAAGACAGAAAAGAAAGTTGAAAATAATATCTTGAGGCACTGAATTTAAATTACCAGCTGCATATTTACCTGAGTAATATCCCACTGTTTTCAGATGACTTCAAAGGGAATATAATTAAGTCCCTTAGAGGAAAAGTGGTGAGGGATGTTACAGATTCATCAGAATATTAGCTTTCCTAGTTGCAGTCACGTGAATGAGGTCTCGACAGCAGTTTTGTTATTGTTATTGTCATTAGTTTTTGAAGGAATACTTTACTGTTTTTTTCAAAAAATGAAACAAATTACTGGAGTAGGTTGAATAATAGCCCCTGAAGATACCAGGTTCAAATCCCTGGAACCTGTAAATGTTATGACATATTGAAAAAGTGTCTTTGCAGGTGTGATAAAGAATCTTCAGGTGGAGAGGCAATCCTGAATTATCCAGTGGGCCCTAAATGTTACCATAGTGCCATCCTTCTAAGCAAGAAGCAGAAGATCTGGGCAATGTGACCATGGAGGCAGAGACAGGAGTGATGTGGCCGTAAGCCAAGGATTGTCGGCAGCTGCCAGTGGCTGAAGGGGCAAGGAACAGATTCTCCTCTGGAGCCTCTGGAGGGAGAATGGCCCTGCTAATACCTTGATTTTGGCCCAGTGATACTGATTTTGGACTTCTGGCCTCTAGAACTGTGAGGGAATAGATTTCTGTTGCTTTAAGCCATTGAATTTATGATAATTTATTACAGCAGCCACAGAAAACTAATGCATGGATCCAACTTGAACCTAGTGAGTTAGATTACTTCAGAGAAACACAATGAATAGTTAACAGGGCTTGTTGGGAGTATGGGAAGTGAGATGAAAGTGTGAAGGCAACTTCTATGGTTTTCTTTTATATTTCCCTATTTTTCAAATCTTTTACAAGGGAATGAATTCATGTACTATTTAAAAAGACATATAAAATGTAAGCAAAAGGATTTATTGTATCTCTTTAAAATAATTTAGAACAAGGAATGGCTGCAGAACCTTAAAGGGTTTGTCTAGCATGTTTCCAAGATACAGTCTTGGTTATTTGCAATTGACATGAAGGTGGCCCAGACTGTGCTGTAACACAGCACTTGATACCAAATGTTTGACTGCAATGGACTGTGTGAATCTTACCCAGTATGACCATTTTATTATCAAATAATCTATTTATTTCAGATTTCTAACACGAATACAAGCTTCTCCTTTCTTTCCTTCCTTTCTCTTTTTCTCGTTTCTACAGCAAGTTCAGGACTGTGCTAGGTATGACCTGGGATCGAAAGAGCATATACTCAGCTTTCGCCTTCAAGAAAATTGGATATTGGCTTGGGAGATAAGATAAATGAAAAGGAAGCAGATGATCTGTTATAGAAAAGATAACACTGTAAGCCCAACATGTATGTGATTAAGTTCTAAACCGATAGGGAGTGCTGTGAGGTGTCCCTATGGGTGCAGATAGCAATAGATCTGACCATACAAGTGTAAATAGAACCCTATTGAATGTCCCCCTCTCTCACCAATTGTTCTTAGTGGTTGCTTTGAGATTTCTTCCCATCGTTCTCAAATTGTTATGGTGAGATTAACTGGCAAACATTTATCCTTAACATAAGAAGTGTGAATGGAATACTACCAAGTGATTTTTGCCAATTCGCTGCAAACAGTGATGTGTTCAGGCTTAAGCTGTAAAATGTCCACACTCACCTGTCACTTGGGAATGCCTCTGTTGGAATGCAACAGGCTCACTTATCACACAGCCAGCATGAGAGGCAGAGCGGAGTTGAATCAAGCAGTCTGCCCTCAAAGCCTGCAGATGTAGCCACTGCCTTCAGGAGAGGGAAGGGAAACTAACCCTGCTGAGTATCTACTGTGTACTAGGCACTCTGGTAAGCACTTTTACACACATCATTTAATACTCATGACAGTATTTAGAAATAGCTATCAGTTCTGTAGATGAGAAAGAAAAGGTAGGCTCAGAGAGGGTAGGTAAATTGCCTAAGGTCACATAGCTGGTACACAGTGGTAGAGCTAGGGTGAAAACCCAAGACTTTCTGAGTCCAAAGCGCATGCCTATTCCATCATTGCAGGTAATAAGGATAAATGTCTTTCAAATTTAGTGGTGAGAGACGAATAAAAAATGGTCGTTGGTGATCCTGGGGTGTCTACACCCTCTGCCTGCCTGGCTTCACATCAAGCTTGTGTTCGCCAGCACCTCCACCCCGGCATTTCCCTCCAATCCCTGCCATCTCCCCTGTGGAGTCCTCTCCTCCTCTCCTACCCCTAGTTCTCCTTTTCACCCATCCTTCAGCCATTTAATGATCTCATCTTTAATTTCCATTTATAACTCCATGAGCTCCTGGATCACCCTCTCCCGAGATATTCTTTTTTGGCATTGGAACGTGTATTAAAGTGGTTTTGTGATGGGTACTTCTGTTTCTTTTGTCCTGCTCTGAATTTCCTGAAGGCAGGGACCACATCTCTTTTATTCTTCTCTGTTTCCCTCAGGTTCTGTCATTATGCATAGGCAATTAGCAATTATTTCCTTGTTTTTCATATAGGGTCTCGCTGTGTTGCCCAGGCTGGTATGCATTGGCACAATCTTGGCTCACTGCAGCCACCGCCTCTTGGATTCAAGTGATCCTCCCCACTCAGTCTCTTGAGTAGCTGCTGGGACTACAGGTGCATGCTGCCTGGCTAATTTTTTTGGTAGAGACAGGGTTTCACCATGTTGGCCAGGCTCCTCTCAAACTCCACTCAAGTGATTGGCCTGCCTCATCTCCCAAAGAGCTGGGATTACAGGCATGAACCACCATGCCTGGCTCGCAATTATTTCTCGACTTGAATTGCCTTCTGGTTGCTCATAAGTCCGATGCAACCTCTTCTCTCCAGCTTATTTCTTTTGTGCCACTTTACTCCCAATTCCCACCCTTCACTATCCACGACTGTGTCCTGAGCTCAGAGATAACTCAGTGAGTGAGACCTTCCACCATGTTGGCAGTGTTCTACATCCACGCTGTCCAACGTGGTAGCTGCTAGTCACATGTGGCTTTTGAGCACTTGAAACGTGGCTAGTGTGATTGAAGAACTGACTTTTCGGTTGCATGTTAAATATAATCAACCAATTAATTTAAGTAATTTATTTAACTAACATAGTTAATTTACATTTTAATAGCTCCTGCCATATTTGATCACACAGCTGTCCAAACATGGAACAAACAAGCTCCTCATTCTGAAGCCCAAACTTGAGCACAGGCTTCTGCAAAATTCTGCAGAAGCATATTCTTGAGTTTACAGAAAAGAAGTCTGATGGAAAGCTGTACAAATCATTTCCAAGCGGGTCATGGCTTCTGATTGTTCTCAAGTTGTCTTGAGCAAGTAATCATGGAGTCAGTCTGTGGACTCATGTGTAGATACCACCTGTTGTCTATAGGGTGGCAGTTCCATTAAATTAACATTCACATCTGGGGAACGTGGGGGGAGATGCCTATGTGGTCTGTAATTGAATTGCCCTAAAATCCCTCCAAAGACATTGAGATGCTAAGTAGAAAAATTCCTTCCCCCCTTCATTTCTGTCAAATTTGATTTTCTTGTTTTCTTTTCCTGAAACTCTAGTAGCTGTCAAGAATGTATTGCTGGAAGCCAAATCTGTCATTTTGTCTTCGCAGTTGAAGAACTTTCATTTTTCTTTCTAGGAGTAACGCATTTCTACTTAGAGGACAGCTAAGTGAAAATGTACTCCTGAAACAAGATTTGTTCTGCTGGCTTCCTTGAATTTATCAAAAAGACAAAAATCTCACCAGCTTCACTTTGTAATAATGCCCTGAAATTACCTGGCATCATCTTCCACCTACTTTTGTCTCTATTATTTAATATGAGTAGTAGGGAAGAAGAAAATGAACACATTCACAATTTAAGGTTCTCCTTATACATGTATTGTCAAAGCTAATTGTTTTAAACAAGGTGTTTTATCTTTGATTAAAGTAATCAGTGCCTATGAGTATAAAAGAAACGGTGGTAGTTTCATGGTCTTTTTCATAACAGAGTCCCATACTTAACACTTTCATGTGCTGACACTGATAATGAAGATACAAGACCTGCCTTAAGCAATAGTTAGCCTTCAAAATAGAAAGGTGAATGGTACATTCATTTCTGAAATTCCTTGAGGTTTCTCCTTGCTCTACCCAGTTAGAAAGAGAAGCATTTTTTTTTAAATCCCCATTGCAGAGAGGGAAACTGAGACCACCAGTCAATCAAAGGAAAGATTTTTACTTTCCCAAAACAAATGGATATCAGCAATGTCAAATATTCAACATAACTTATAAGCCTTCCCAGCACTACCTTCAAAGCACATAGGGCATCTCTTCAGGTCAGCCATTTGCTCCTGACACAGACCTGATGTCTACTGCTTGTGTAATTGATGGTAACAATGGATACTGAAAATTCCCCAAAATAATTTTATTGTTTTCATTAAGTTGATCAAGTAGAAAGGTGAATACTATTGTCATCCCTGTCCTGACAAAGTGATTAACGTTTTTGTCTCTGTGGATTCCTCTTCCCTCCTTACTCTTTATCCCTATCATGGGCAGACTCATTTCATGACAATGTCATTGCTACACAGCTCAAGTTCAGTCACCCAAGATGGTCTCCTGGAGCATACACATGACAGGCAAGGGCATTAGAGGTGAAAGATGCCGAAGCAATGGCATTAGAAATATACAGAAGCAATGGCATTAGAGATCAAATAAAAACTTTCCATAAACATTGTGAATGCCTTTTAGCTACAGTGGTTCTGAGGAAGGTACTTCTCAGAGGACATTAAAAAATATGTAAAGGTGTTATATCTTTGGTTGTCACAGCAATGAGGATGAAAAGGTGGAAAATGGGAAAGGGTGACAGGGATGGCAGAGGGGTGAGGACCTATCAGCATCTGGTGTCAGAAGTCAGGGATGTCAAATGCCTGCAGTTTTCAGGACAATCCCACCTTATGAATTGTCTCACCAAAAATGCCAATAACACCTGTACTGGGAAAGAATGGAAGGGGAAGAGCACAGCACTCAAATAGATGTTAACAATAGTCATTTGGAATTCACCATTATATGTGTGTGTGTGTGTGTGTGTGTGTGTGTGTGTGATTAAATTTATTTTTTTTTACTTTGTGCCAGGCCCTGGGGTACAATGGTTTTAAAGACACCCACTTTTGCCCTAAAGAAGCATACAGTTGGTGAGACAGATCACATTTTGCCATGATAGCAGTAACCCAGGAGGTCAAGGGGAACAAAGAGGGGTCTGGAAAGGCAAGGAGGTGGGCAGAGTGGTTTAGGGTGTGAGGGGACAGCTAGGGTAGGGAGGTGAGGTTTCCAGGCGAGGACCGCATGTGTAACTAAGGCCTGGAGTTAGAAGAGCCCAGTGCCATGGGGGGCAATTTCGTTCTGCTGCTATTTCCTTCCGACCGAGGTGAGAGTTGCAAATGGGATGAAGAGGGAAGCAGGGGTTCAGTAATCAGAGGCCCTGACACTCTGTGCAGGAACCATGAGAAGCCACTGGTGGGTGTCATTAAGGGAATGACAATAACCCATGTCAGAGATGGCACACTGAATTGAGAGCTTTCTTAGTGTCAGTATTATTGTCCCTTGTCTTTAGACACTGGACAGGAAATCTGTTGAGAGTCACCTGAGAGTCATTGGCCTTTCCTTGAAGCTTCACTACTATATAGCCGCAAAGGCTGGACTGGCCTCACCAGTGTGGTCAGGTCACTATCACTGTCATCAGCCATCTGGCAAGGAAGTGCCTTCCACCAGCAGAGACTGCTCTGCCTTCGAGAACCCAGGCTTGTTGGGAGGCTGGAACTGCATGGCCCCAGCATCCCCTCCAGGAGAAGGATGGTTAAAGCCAAAACCTATAGAATCCAATGATCCAAGTTGGAATTCCACCTGAGGTCATGAAGTCAACAAATGGGAACAAAGATTTGTTGACTTCATGACCTCAGGTGGATCATTTAACCTCTGATTTTTTCATCTGTAGAATGAAGATAATGATAACAGTGATCTCGTAGGTTTTTGTAAAGATTAGATGAGATAATACATATAAACTCAGCACTTAATAAGCACTCAGTAAGCATTAGCTATTATTACAACAGAATGCAACAAGTCAAATTCAGCTCAAAGTTTAAGAGTGTGCCCTCTGGAGCTACAGTGTTGGGTTTAAAAATTTAGGCCCAAGACTTGTGGCCTTGGACAACCTGCTTAAACTCGCCCCACCTCATTTTCCTCACCAATAAAAACAGGAAGAAGATGATGGTCTTGACTTCAGAGGTTGACATAGCTTGATTTTAACAATGTACATCTCTTCGAGCAACAGCTGACTCATATAGTAAGTGCTCCATAAATGTTAGCTATTATTTCAATGGAGACAGCTGGGCAAAAGTGATGGAAAGTAAGTGGGACTCTAGACTTTGAAGGATTAGAGAGTGCCTTAAATAAAATGACTGGAGGAAGAAGGGAATCAATATTTGGATGCTTAATAAGTGTCTTGAACTTTTAATATCAAAAAAGTTGTTTTGAGAGTTAAACAAGATACCCCAGTGCCCACTGCAGATTGTTTTCTTATCCCAGTTTTGCTGCTGAATCTTACTGAGTTTAGGTAAATTACGCAGGATCACATGTTAGGTTGTGGAACCTGGCTGCATCCGACTTTAAATCCTTGCTCTTTCCCCCCACCTTGCTGAGTTCAGCTACATGGAAAAGGGAGGTGGTCCAGGAGAGGAGGGCGATGAGGAATCAATTCTGCTGGAGTCAGGGTTGGTACCTGGTTCCCAGGTGAATACCTTTCTTTAAGTTCAAGATGCCGGGGTGCTGGCCTCTCAATGACCACCAGATGTCAGTGCTAACAAGAGATTCCTCCACTTGGGTCTGTTTCCAGAGCTAGGGGCCAGGGCACGCTCATTCATTTGGCAAGCAGCACCAGCAGGAACGGCTGTCTAAGAGACGTTTAACTTGGTCGTGGTGCCCATCTTCAAATTCATCAGTGTGGGGTAATTTTGGAGGGCTGTGTCAGAAGAACATATATTACAACCCTAAACTGAATTTGGAAAATATGTGGTGGTAGAACATTTGGCTCTTTAAGATAAAAGTCCACAGCACCACTTCCTAAGATACAATTTGTATTTGGAAATAAAGCTCCTTGAAGGTGATCAGTTCTGGACACAACAAGGCACTCAAACTCTTGAATTCAAGGGGCAAGAAAGTTATTGATTGGTGATTGGTTACTGATCAGGAAAAACTTGGAACTGTGGCTTTACACTTGTTAATCATGAAATGGGCGTTACTCAGGTTACAAGCCTATACACACATGTGCACACTTATAATAAAAATTTCCTCAAACAATACTTTAATACGTGTGATATTTTCTGTTCTACTCTACTCTCTTCTTTCATTAAAAAATGCTAATTGAAACCCTCTAAACTGACAACCTACAATTTGAAAAACACTGGCCTAGGAGTGCTTTGGATGAAGTTCTGGGTTTGCAGTGCTGGACCAGACTTAATTTCCGTGGTTAAGACAGTCTAAGGGGAAAAACACCTGCTTTGGATTTGGAGACAGACTCAAATTGCAATTTTACCTTGAGTAGTTTACTTATTTTCTGAACCTCAACATTTTAGTGTATAAAATGAATAGAATTATGTCTACTCACAGGATCATTGTGAGGTACCTGCTACACAGCAGCCTTCCTTCCCTTCCTTCCTTCCTTTCATCTCTTGCTCTCTTTTTTAGAGACAAGGTCTTGGTTTGTTGCTCAAGTTGGAGTACAGTGTCATGATCATAGCTCACTGAGGCTTCAAACACCTTGGCTCAGGCAATCCTTCTGCCTTTGCCTCCTGAGTTTGGATTATACATGTGAGCCACCATGCCCAGTCCAGGCTATATATGCCTTTCCCTTCTGTACTTGAAGGTTTTTTTTAATTACATGTGGTAAGAGAACTTTACAATTTCACTAAAGGAGGCATTTCTAATGTGGAAGGGGGATTAAGTTCTAAAACCAGCAACTGGGAATCTTTAAGAATAGAGTAATCCTGCTTGTGTAGTTCAGCCACGTTGATACTCAAAAGCAGCATTGCTGGATGAACTGCCTCGCAGAGGTGTAGGGAGAGGAAGATAGATCAGTTTACGGTGTTGTTTCCCTGGGATGTCTCTGCCCGACCCTCTGACCCTCTAAGCATGATTTATTTCTGGTAGGGCCCTCTTCCTGGCTTGCAGACAGCTGCCTTCTCATTGTGTCCTCACATGGCCTTTGCTTGGTGTATGCTTGTGGAAAGAGAGATTTCTCTCTCTCCCTGTTCTTGGAAAGCCACTAATCCTATTGGATTTAGACCCCATCTTTGTAACCACATTTAACCCTAATTACCTCTTATAAGCCCCATCTCCAAATATAGTCACATTGGGAGTTAGGGCTTTCACATATGAATGCTGGTGAAGGGTGGGAGGACACGATGTAGTCCAAAGCACCCCATATTACACAGATATTAAAACCTACCTCCCTAGAGGGAGGGGCTTTATCATCATTGCCCTTTACAGTGGGCATCCCATAAATACCTGTGAATAAATGAAAGGAGGGACTGTGCTTTCTCTGTACATTCTAGTGTTAGTGTGGGCACATTTATGACCCTATTATAATACCCGAAGCAAGCACATATATATGTCAGTGACTTCAGCTTTCTTTCTATCTAATCCTCAACAATTCTGGAAATTAGGAATGATTTTCATCATGACAGGGATGAAAGGAGGCACAGAGAAGTTAAGGAACTTGCCCAAGGTCACACAGCTCATAGGCAAAGCCAGGATTAGGGTCCTTCTCTGTCAACTCTGACGTCCATTTCTTTTTAGAGCCTAGAACAGTGGTTCTCAAATTTGGGGGTGCGTCAGAATATCCTGGTCGGGTTTTTAAGTCAGATGGCTGGGCTGGGTGAGGTGGCATGCATCTGTAGTCCCAGCTACTGGGGAAGCGTTGGCAGGAGGATCCCTTGAGCCCCGGGACTTCCAGGCTGTGGTGCACCATGATCGTGCCTGAGAATAACTGCTGCACTCCAGCCGGGGCAACACAGCAAGATTCATCTCTAAAAAACTCCCCAAAACCAAAAAAACAGATTGCTGGGCACTACCCTCTGAGTTTCTGCTTCAGTATGTCTAGTGTGGGGTCTGAGAATCTGCATTTGTAAGTTCCCAGGGAATGCTGATACTGGTTGTGGGACCACACTTTGAGAATCAGCGCTGTGGCCATAGCTCGTGAGTTCCTTTTTCCTTCAGACTTCGGAACTGTTTTCTGGCTCTCCAACCTTCCTTGACCCCTCAGTGAATATTTGCTGGAAGTGTTCCTGTTTGCACGTGGCCTGCTCTGGGCTGCTCTGGCCCATAGGGGCCTAGAGAAAGGCCTAGACCGCAGGGTGGCAGCAGCGGCCCAGGCACAGAGAGTTTGTCCCCGCGCTCAGGACAGCTCATTAGCGCACCATCCACAGGGTTCCCACCGGCCGGGGCCGGCTGGCTCTCCGTCCCCGCTTGGCAGGGCAGGGAAGAGGCCAGTGGGAGGGGGCCTGGCAGAAGGGGAGGTCGCTGGCACACGGAGGGGCCGTTTTGTTCTCTGGGAGACTCTGCGAGAGGAAGCTGGGTGGTCTCCTCAGAACATCGGATTGTGCCCTTCACAAAACCGCCACGCAGCGCGGGGCCGCTGGGAGAGCCCGCGGGACAAAAGGCCTCTGCGGAGGCGAGCAGGGCCTGCCGGGCCGCCCCGAGCTCAGAGGCCCGGGCCCCTCCGTGAAGAGGCCTGGCAGTGTCTCCTGATGCCGGTTTCCAGGGGTGACGGCCTCCGCAAAGCGTCCCCCCGCCCCGCACCCCCGGGCAATGTAGGTCTGTGGCCTCCTCGGGGAGTTCCTTCCAGCTCACAGCAGGCCCAGATGGCGCGGGGAGCCACCCTCCCTTCTTCCAGCGCCACCCCGTGCCGCTTCCTCCCTACTGAGCCCGGGTTGTTCTGAAGGTCTTAAGAATCTCCCTGAGTGCCAGGAACTGTGCTGAGAATTTTATATCTAGTTATTATCTATTTAATTCTCTTTACACCATAATAAAGAAGGTATGATACCCATTTATGATGGGGAAGTTGAAGCTTAACCTATCACATGCCAAGGTCAGTTGACTCAGGTGTATTTTAACTCTAGTATCCCCTCCAATACACAGTCACTTGATAAGAAAGTTGGTTTGGAGCTGGTGGGTTTCATGCAATCCCCAAAT